ATCGGAGGAAACGTGAAGAGATCTGAATTAAATATATTTAAATAAATATATTTAAAAATAAGATTTAAAAAAATCGATTATTTTTTAAAAATACATTATATATAAAATATATTAATCACCATTTTTTATTTTTTTCTAAATAATCGGAAACCGATTTAATATATCTAAAAAAAAATAATCGGAGGAAACGTGAAGAGATCCGAACCAAATGTCGAGACATCTGAAAATTTCGGTTGCCGAAACTCCGCACATGCTCTTGTGATTAAAAACACATGCCATTAGTAGTCGTTTTGATATACCCGGTACTTAAAAAATTTCCGGTGTAATTTCTTAGCAAAGAACTTTATCTACTCCCTCATCTTCTTCGCTTCTTTGATTTTAGACAGGATAGCTTACCTAGCTTTACACGTACTCTCCTCTCGATCTTTTTAAAACCGTGCGAAATTTATTCCGCAGAGTGCGCTGTCATACGTATTTTTATTTTTCCGGAAACCTACGCAAGAGATCGACCAAATTTCCGTCTGGCGCATAAAAATTTACGCGCGGTAGTAGTTGGAATGTCGATTCTGCCTCGACACATCGACGTATTTGTTCGATAACATACACGCTGCCTCTCTATTTAATCTTTCTCTTTTTCGCTCCTCGTCTCTTTTGCCCTTTCATGTCGACTACTATTCTGTTTTCGATGAAAAGCTCGGGCCAGTTCGAGCGTAAGCGATGGCGAGTATTCAAAAGTGTATTGCAAAAATTGTGCCGATAGAGAGGCAAATCGCGTTCGCGCAAGTGGCTTCAAAAATTTAACTTTGGTTACCGTATTTCCATGTCGAAACACACAAGAATCGTCCTCCCGATGTCATTGTATATTTTATAATTCAGCAATATATTTTTTTTCACGGCCTTAAATATTATAAATACTCGCGAAGAAGTACAAATAATTGTCCTTTCTCCAACATTCATGCAAATTTATATTCATGCAAATGTATAATTAAGATTAATTGGTCCGTGTGCGGCGCACCGTGATAGATGATAGACATAGAAGTAATGCCTCGAGCACTATATCTCACCGCAACGGTATATTACAACTCTCGCTATTATGCATAAACTGTAGAATGTTTCGAGTAGATAGCGGGGAAAGAATATAAATCATAATTATGAGCTTCTCGACAGCGATATAAGTAGAACCACCGAATCCACAATAATGCCTGGAACCGAGACAAATCAAGAAATCAAACAAACAACGGTTCAGAAGATGTTGTTTGGATTCGCGCGTCACTCGAATAAGCATCAGTCTGTCTAAGATAATCCTATTTCAGGTGGTCCTTTTCTCTCTGTCTCTCTCTCTCTCTCTCTCGAAACGCGTTGTATTCTACTACATCCACTGTCGATGCAGAAAACTAACATCGAATTCGCAGATAAAGGGAACGATAACCGAGAAGAGAAAGGGGGATGGGGGAAATAGAATTCTTCGTGAAAAATTTTCTCCATGCGAGTGGCCTGAACGAAAATTCGAGTTTCGAAAATGATCGTCAAGAGATCGGCGAGGATCTGTGGAAGAAAAAGGATACGACTTGTGTACTCGGTACTTACGTTTCTTTCGGTCCGACGATTTCGCTTATTGCGTGCTATTCGCCAGTCATCTAATAACGGGGGATTGTTTTCCTTCGTAGAGGGAGGGGGAGGGTGGGGAAGCGAGCGAGGCGAGGGCGAGTCGTTTCACCGAATTATTCCGCGCCTTTGGCTCTGCAAGCAGGAAGCATAAAACGAAATTAATGTCGTAATAATCGCGTCGCCGCATAACGTAATTCGGTAAAGCCGCGCGCCCTTGAGACACGGTTAATTCCGTAATAATTGTACTACACGGCAAATTATCACGATTAAATTACTCGATACAGTTTGCGCGTGGACAGATTCTCGACATCGTCCCGCGAACGAAGTCGTTTTAATATGGCAAACCATAGTCTCGAATTACAGAAACTAATTCGGGAGAGAATGTTTCGTGAGGATAATAGACGATAAAAATAAGGGAAATAGTTCCTATATAAACGAATAAATTTGTAAACTATGTACGCAATTGAGATTTAGCTTATAAAAATTAGAATAGAGATATCGTTAAAAATTATTATTAATTAATTCAGAGTTATTAAATATATTATTAAGAATTAATATTATTATTAGATATAAATAATAGATATTTATAATAATATAGTTAATATAGTTAATAATAATATAATTATATAGTTAATATAATTAAGAAAGGAATAGAATTATATACACATTACATTATATTTTAGTAGAAATTAAAGTTGTATTCGTAACTGCAGATAATCATATTTATTCTTACAGGAAATCTCTTTTTGTCAAAATTCAATGTGAGTATATTTCGATTCGTTTCCTTTATTCGATCCGTGAATGAAAAATAGCGTGTGCATGAATAAGAAAATTAAGACACAAGTGTCGTCAATTTTTTAACAATTCTTTTTCAGTCTTGTCTGTGCGAAGAAACGTCATACGCGAAAGCTTCATCAATTGACATTCTCACTGCCTATTTTTAGCGCTAAATACGATTGTCCGACATCCTCATCTCGTGCCCGCACACTGAATGCGATCTTCCCGTTAGACAAGCGGAACTCGTGTGAATTCGGCTTATCTCGGGCATAGATCGCGAAAAAAGGGGGCTGCGCATTCAGCGGCAAAAGTAAATTTCTTTTATCGACTTCCGAAAAAAGTGCGGCAATTTGCGCGATCGTATCGCGCATATGACCTGAGATGCGAAACATGTATATTTCGAAAGCCACCGGATGTGTGGTTTTTTTTTAATTACAACTTTTACAATCAATTCGCGAAGCTAATTTTTTTCAGAGAGAATATCGAAATATATATATCATCGTTTATTGCATTTTTTCAATTTTCGATATTATATATCTTTATATCAAATTCCAAATAGAAATTATAAAGCTTAATTGACATTAAAAGTTATTGAAAAATGAGGGAAATAAAAATAAAAAATATTTAAAAAATTCGTAGTGTCATTATCATATTCAACCGAGTTAACTCCATTTCCTCCGGTTATAATGATTCAAAAGCATGATTTAAGAGATCTTTTTTCTGTGTTCTTTCCTCGTCACGAATTATACATATAATAGCTCGCTATAAAACTCGATATCATTTATAATAGTCGAAGACTATAAAGGAGTGGCGTATGCTTGTGCTGCACCGCAAGATACGCGATGTTCGTTTTCGAGATGACGACGGAATCGCCGTCAGACAACAAAGTCGTCTCTACGTATCTATCTACTGTTCCTCGTTTAAAGGAAACACGTCCGATACGAAGCCTGCCCGAGCAAAGGCGGGAAAATATTCGCGCTACGCGCATAGTCGTGGAAATAAAAAGAGATCAGCAAGAGAAAAAACAAAATCGCATAGCGACGGTTCTCACAAAGAAAGAGAATACAAAGAGAGAAAAAAAGAGAGAGAGAGAGAGAGACAGACTAAAGACGCAAACAGACAGAGATACGGGATGAAAAGCGGAAGAGTGAAAGCGGAGATAACGAACGAGCGAGAGAAGGAATGGAACAAAAGGCGAAGGGGATGATGGAGGTAGGGGGGGGGGAGGAAGAGAGAAGGACAAGGGGAGGATGGGCAAGAGGGGGAGGGTGGCTGCGGGCGAATGACGTTGATGAAATGCTTCTCAGCGGCGAACATGTAACGCGACCTCGGCGGATCGAGATAAACACATTCGCGAGTTGGATTCCTGCATCATCTCCTCTCCTTCCCCCTATTATCTTTCTTTCTCCCGCCGACCCCTCTCCACCCGATCGTATCCCGCCACATTCGCGCGACGGCTCTTTCTTTAATCCATCTGAGCTTTATCTCATTGACGAGATAGTTGCCTCGACCAGAGATACGTCCGAGTTCTCGCTGGCTATACCTATATCCGTCTACGCTCCTCTCCGGTCGGCCGGTCGGCGCGCGCCCATGATCGGTTTTAATCAGTGATTCGAATCGACTCGATTGAAATTGGCCCGAGCCGCGATTGAAGCCCCGGCATCCGTGCACTCTATTCCATAAAACTGAAATCGATACCAGGCGTCGTTCGGTTTGCTCACCGCAAAGCTCGCGGCGGAATTTCGCGCGTGAAGCATCGAGAAGTCACACAGCACCGAAATTAGAAGGAAAAAAAAAAAATAATAATAATGGCTTTAAAACGTCATTATTGCTCAAAGATCACAATTTTGAAAATAAAATAGATTTTAATTTAATGCTGATTTTATATAAATATTAACACTCATAAAATCAAAAATCTTTATCCTGAAATAGTATAATTGACATTTCGTGCACTCGTGGATAGATTTGACATATAAATTATTTCTCAAACATTTTTATTAATAAGTATACAATGTTTATTCTCCCTCTCTCTCTTCTCTCGTGCATAAAATGTACTAATAAATACAAATAAATTATTTCTCCTAATTTTCTTCTTTTTCAAATTAATAACTGTTCGAAGACAGTTATTATATTTTCGCATTTAATTGAAATCTCGTCTGTTTTCCGCGCGCAAAAAAGAGATTGACTTGAAATACTGACTTCGACGACACCGAGAACAGCGAATCGATAGGAAGCAATGTATGGAAAGAGCGTATTGCTGATCCCCCACGACGTTATACCATACGCATACTAATATATTCATTCTTACTTATAAGTCCCAGCATACGTAAACGCGGCGAGCCTACGTAATATCAAGATTCCCAGAGTACGAACGAGGCGACGGTTTACTTGGGCGTTTAAAAGCACGCGTTAATACAAGACGCGGGAGAGGAGGAGCGCAAGAGAGGGCAAACTTAAGGAAGAAAGATTAAGCGACTCTGGTGCAAAAGGGAAACGGAGGCCGCAGCTTCCGCGTGTTCATCGCCGACTTATCGGCCAAAAGTTCTATCCGCGAGCGAGCTTTGGCAAGCTCGCTTGCTCCTCTCGAGATTTGCTTAATGAGAAAAGTGAATGGAACCGGAAAATGCGGCCTGCGTGTATGTATCTACTACCGAAAGTAGCAGTAAATGCAAACGAGTTCTTTTCATGCTTACATCGTCGTCCGAGAACACTATTTCGGTGTAAATTATATATAAAGTCACACTGCTTGGCAACTTTTTCCTTCCCGTCTCCTTCGGATGATCGTACAACACTACTCTTCCTCCGCGATCTTGTGCTTCGAACGAGTTTATCTATACACTGATAACGGCTCTATGACCTCCGAGAATCTCTCGCAAAGGTTTATCCGACAACCTTGTCTCGTGTATGTTATGTGTACGCGTACACGCTCAAGTAGACGCAAAACATATATACACACACAAAGGAAAACATATCATGTTCTTTTTTCAAAATTTTACTGAACGAGTAAGTTTGTACGGGAAAACTTGCATCGACCTTCTCTTATCGCGCGTGTTTTATCTTTTGCTGGATTCGTCAGTGAACGTGGAAATGTGAAACGCTGCTTACAAAAAACCGATAAGAACTGATAGCGAGAAATAGATTCAAAATTTATATGCATAATTTTATCGTAAGCGTTTTTATCCAATCCCGACTATTGATATAAAAACAGTAGCCTATTATTTATTTTATTTTTATCTTTTATTATTTTTTTTTTTCCCCGATAAATTATTCTTCTTTTATTCTTTTATCATACATATTTTAAAGAATTAAAATATTTATTGAATGTGTACGCGCTTTTCTGTACAAATCTCTGTGAAATGTATCCAATTTGATGTGATTCGGTATTAATATGTGGATCTATCTTTGATTTAACTTCAAATTGTATGTAATAAAAATAAAATATTGTAACCTATCAATGCGGAGAAAATACAATCATTAAATTTAAATTGAAGAATATAAATAAATTGCTTATTCGCCGTTAATTTGTACACGTATTATTGCAATAAAAACAAAATAAAACAGTTAACATAATTAACTGCAAATGTCGGATGAATAATCTGACATATTAATGAATCAAAAACGCGATTTGATTATATTTATTTTCTTTTTCATTCAATTTCATCGAACGTTTTAACTAGAGCTGCGTAGATGTAATAAAAGTATGATTTGTTTACACGCGTGTACAAAAACACATGTACGGTATATTCTCTTCATTATCCAGGACAATTGGAGTAGGGGGAGGAGATTGGTATGGATAATCGAGAAACACGAGCAATCCGAGCACATACCGTACTTTATTGAGGCACAAACATTACTGTATGACCGTAATTTATTCGTGATATGCATAATACATACACAACAATATCTACGTATGAGTGATCGTTTAATACGTTTGTGTAAATAATTCGCGATTTTCGTTTACCTCTGGGGACTCGGTAATGAATCATTTTATTCAAGCACGTTATTTCTCATCTTCATCATTAGTCATTAGCAATTTACGATAGCGCGTTGATAATCTGCAAACAGGATAAACCCAGCACGGATAATTACATTGTATATGTATATTTTTGTACGATACTATTTTAAATAATAAATAAACTATATTTAAAACGAGTCACTTTGAAAGAAATGCGTGCCCGAAATGCTCAATTCCGGATAAAGAAAACTAAGCCATCAAAATTTCACAGAATTTTAACACGTTCGTTTACCTGAGATTTTTCGGTAAGTGCCAGGAACCGATTTATAGGATGCCTCAACAAGCTGTTTTTTTTTTAAACGTTATTAAAGATAAAAGAATTTTTTTCGTATTTGAGGGCTTCCATTTTACAGGTAGACCACCGGTATTTGACTTCCAGATAGAAAGAATTTTCTGCTCTTTTTTTCTCTCATAAAATTTCAGTCATATAAATTATCGAAATAATTTTGTTTAAGAAATATTCACTAATTATTTAAAATTATATATCTTATTAACATTAAATATGTATATGTGTGTGTATGTGTTTCCGCTGAGAATCCTGAAACTATTAGCTTCAGACCTTATTAAGTCTGGAAACTTATCATCCGTCTCTGGTAAATGCACAATTCTCTAATGGCAGCAATTCTCTAATGAACGTACTTTTGTCAAGTACAAGATTAAACATACAGATATAATGACGTCAACGGACGCGTAATAAGCGCGTATTTACGTATGAATATCTTTCAATTTTTGACACGTGCGAAATAACTTGTGTACGGATAAATTTACACTTGCTTCTTGCATTATATAAGAAACGTGATAATCTATTTATAGTTACAAAATGGTCAATAAATAAAGGAAGACGCCCGTAGGGATATAATGGAGGAACGTACTCTGATTTATTTGGCCTCCAGCTTCTTAGAGCACGTGTTGATGGTTCGACGCCTAAATCCCTACTGTTTTATTTCGCACCTATCCGCAATTCTAACACCTCTCACATGTTTATTTATCACACATGTATCTCTGTTGTTATTAAGAGTATCCAATTACAACGCGTCCTATACACGGCACGTATCTTATACACAGACTCGTATCCCCTCCAATCAATTTAATACATTTCAAAGAAATCTATAATTAAAAAAGTTATTGAAAAAACAAACAAAAAGGTTATTAAAAACATTCAATTAAGTTATACTCTCTGTTTACACATTGTATGAAATAAATGAAAACAAGCAAACCATACTTTTATTACAAAAATTAAAAATTGCTTTTCATATAAGATTAATTTTTCAATTTCTATATTAATTAAATTTCTTCTTTTTACTCAAATTTAGTAAATATTATTATGTATGTGAATTTAATTACAAATTTTAAAAGTTCTAAATTACCATTTTTTAATATCCGATATATTGCGATGGTATGCATAAATTTTCCTCTTTTTCCTCGTCGATGAAGATGTGCGATTTTTACCCAGGTTACACAGAAAAAAAAAAAACGAACGGCTTGAAGAATTATTTATGAGCTTTCGAACCCCGAAAGATAAGAATTCGAATTCTTTTTAGCTGAATGTACGCGAGTCAAAAATGAACAGAACCTTCCATAAAAAAAAAAAAAAAAAAACTCAAATCCTTCTTCAGATATAGACGGGGACAAATTTTTTATCCCGAGAGGTTCGGAAACTCGTAAAAAGCTCCATAATTCCAATTTGTTCCTGCTTCTATTCCCGCGCGGTGGGACGCCCGGTTGTGAGAATAGGGGTAAGATTGTAAATGGGGGAGGGGGGGGAGGGGAACCCTTCCTCGCGTAGTTACGAGTATATCGGATAGCGTTGGCAGGTCGGAATCGACCGGCGTAAGAGCGACATTAGGTTTCGCGCGGTCGTGCCAAACGGCGTGGCTCGTTTCACGCACACACGCCGGTCCAGAGAATAGCGCGGGCTCGGTGATGCTGCGTCCGCCTAGTTTATCGATCGTCCGTCGACTAAAGAGACAGAGACAGAAGAGATAGATAGAGAGAAAGAGAGAGAGAGAGAGAGAGAGAGAGAGAGAGAGAGAGAGAGAGGGAGGGACGTCGTATTCAAAAGTGCTTCGAGCCCCAACCGAGAAGCTGCCATTATTCTTGCACCCAGGTTCGCGTCATCCATCATACAACGTTGGGGTGCATCGCAACGTTAGCGTGCACCCACAAGCGCGCGCGCGCGCGCAAAAGGGGAAGAGAGAAAGAGAGAGAGAGAGAGAGAGAGAGAGAGAGAGAGAGAAAGAACGCGTACGGACGTGCACCGGCACACAGCGGCTAAGAACAAAGCCGGCGGCAAATGACAGCAGTAATTTTCGCAAACTGTTGTGGGACGCGCGGCTGTGGCATTCTCTTCAGGCAACGCGCGTTTCGCGCCGCGAATTTATTCGACTTGCTCGTCGAAGAACGAAATTTTCTCTTGCCCGATGAGACTCTCGCACTCGACGACGAGCGTTTGATCAATTTTGCCTGTATTATACGGATCAAATTAAAATTTTGATTACCAAGTATCATGGCAAACACATTTGTAGTATTTTGATAATAAAGTATATATAATCTTAACAAATATTTTTTTCTTGATAATAAATACAATAAATTGCGTGCAAAAATATATTATTACCGGAGACATTTATTGAAAAAATTCTTATATTATTTTTTGAAATCGATAGTATAATATAAAACTTACTGAAAATTTTTTTAAAATAACAAGAGCTTTGGCAAACACAATAATCTTTCTATCTTTTATCTTTCTATAGTATAGATGCTTTTTACCGCGCGCGTCCTGTAGCATAATCTCCAATTCTCTTTGAATCCTATTCGATATCGCAATGCAAAAACCGCTCGTTGCACTCGAACGATTTCCCCGTGCCTGGTTTAAGGCAAGTAAAATTGGAGAGTCAACTCGCGAAAACGGCCGATCGTGGCTTACGGATATCATTCCCTTTAATTTAATCGCGATTGTTCCACGGAGTTCGTTGATGCGACATTTACGAAACTGCGATGCATCTGATGCCATTCGAGGTGCAAAGAAACGCGAAGAGATAAACCGCCAAAAATATATCGATAAATGTAAAAGATAAAACGGGAAAATTTCATTATTGCAGTTTTTATACATTTTTAAGATTATCAAAACGAGAAGCAGAGTTAAATTCCATTTACAGTTTTCGTAATTACTCGGGCATTCCATTGATAAAAAATTTAAGAAGTTTATCGCGCAGAATAATAAATTGACCGAATTTTGCTTCAACAAATCGCGCATTCCAAACAAATATTTGAATTATAAAACAATTTAATTACGTGAAATTGTAAAAGGTATGTCATATAACTTTATAACATTCGCGCGCGCTTTTTATCGCAATAATGAGATTGATAATCCCTGCATTGATTATTCCGAAGCTATTGAACTTTCCGCTTCAAGTTTCATGAATCTCGCTTTTCTCAACAAAAGTTTAAATTAAATTGTAGGGTTATTTGCGTAATATGAATCATTAAAGACTCTCAAAGGAACAGTTTCACATAAATATAAATATACATATATATAATATA